AGAGAGAGAGAGAGAGAGAGAGAGAGAGAGAGAGAGAGAGAGAGAGAGAGAGCCTATATATATGTATCTACACAGATAGACTCGAACAGAATGTGTGCTGACAATAAAGGTGAACTGACATAGGACACAGTCCGCATGTCCTGCATTACGTATGTCTACATCTCAGAAAGGTAGCCGTCTCTCTTCACAGAATGAGGTGATGAACAGAAGATATGTTGAGCTCTTGAAGATTGTGTTAGAGTCGGTATTACCAGGACCCCCCCCCCCAACGCCCAATTCGCCCCGAGTATTTTTGGTTTTAATAAATGCACACATAATATATACCCTATGTTTAATGGTTGCAGGCTTATTCTAGAATGACCAGCTGTAGTCAAATGACAAATTATGTCTCTGTACCAACACAAATAGTAGCAAGATAAACCAACGGTTTTTTTCCATTGCCATAACGCGTGGCAATAAGTAGGGTAAACGCTTTCGAAGGACAATTTCCCCTATCTCTTTTCTTTCCCCACCTCTGTGCCTCACATGTACGTACCGATCACTTTATGGGGCTGGTAAAGAAAATTTTCGCTGGTTATGCCTACTTTAGAAAGTTTACAGTAAAGAAGGGCCTAGGTTCCCTGCTTATCGCTTGTTGCAACGAGAGGAGATTGCTCGAGGGCAAGCAGTTTGACAGTCATCGCTCTTGTGTTTGGCGTGTGGGTCCTCTCTCCTGTTGGTCCTCTACAGGCTACACCTTCGCACACACCGATTCAAGAGGCCTGGGGACCAAGGACTGGGCTTGGCTAACACTCGAGCATACCTGGACAGACACTATGTTGTCCCCAGCGCGTGAGAGGAGGCCACTAAAACAACGACACAGCCACAGGTAAGGCCACAATGTTGTTGGTGTCCAGGTTCGAGATATAATTTATATTTTTTACCTGTGCTTTCCTTAACAATAAACACCAAGAATAAAATGAAAGACTATCGTATATTATTTTCGGCATAGATCTGGTTGTTCATTTTCAGGACAACAGTAATTGTCATAACCTCTTTGGTAAAGGTTTTATATTGTTGTTTTTATTGCAATTTAACCTTGGTGTGTGTGTGTGTGTGTTCAAGCATTTAATTTGCTCTTGTGATTAACCTTAGAGCTTTGATGTGACTTAGTCTTAGGTCTATACATGTATTATTGTTTTGAATAGCAATGATATGTAACGTACTTTTGTTCCAAATCACGGCTCATTTGATCTGATGTGTAACGTAAAACTTGTGTTTTAAGTTATGGCTCAAACTTAAACGTGATTTATATAAACTCTTGCATAAGGAAAGAGAAGTAGTAGTCATTAGTGCAATCTACAGCGCTGCGCTCAAAAGAGTTAATGTTGATCTAGATCTTTATCTAGTTACCATACCCCCCCCCCCTCCTCCTTTTCCGCTTAAAATAGAAAAGAACGTATTTTAAGAAATACAGGCCTAACCTAAGCCTAAAATAAAATTAAACACAATCAACCAAATCACGACATATCCTGATTAAAGTGCGTCTCCGAACATTTCAGTTCTTGAAATAAGCATCGCATGGTTTTATGACAGTGGTAGAAATCTAGAAAGTAAAACATCTGGTTAAAAGATCGAATTAGTCAGTAGTCAGTAGTCAGTAGCAGCCAGCAATACTCAGTTTCTGGGGGTGTAACAGGCTAAGTTATTACAGGTGTTCAGGTTTGTACTTTAATCTGTCGTCGTTGCTCGCAGCAAGTACATTTGGCATTTCCCTTCATCACCAAAAAAAAAAGCGGTTACGTGGGTGTCAACTGTCGACACACATGAAAGGCGAAAGGCAAAACTTCCGCGACAAGGCGGTAGGTTGTAAATTTCAAATCAAACCTTGTGGTGCGCACTGTGGTTGGCTTTTTGCCTGCCTTCATGTGTGTGTGTATCTGTCCGTGTGTATGTGTGTGTGTGTGTGTGTGTGTGTGTGTCCTGTGTGTGTCTCCTCTGTGTGTGCTTGCGTGCCTTTGTGTATGTGTGTCTATCTGTCTGTCTGTCTGCCTCTCTCTCTCTCTCTCTCTCTCTCTCTCTCTCTCTCTCTCTCTCTCTCTCTCTCTGTTTGTGTCCTGTGTGTGTGTGTGTGTGTGTGTGCTCTTGCCTGTCTTTGTGCCTGTGTGTCCTGTGTGTGCGGGTCTCTCTCTCTCTCTCTCTCTCTCTCTCTCTGGGTGTGTGGGTTTGTGTGTGTGTGCTTGCGTGCCTTTGTGTCTGTGTGTGCTTATGCTGGTCTGACTTCGAACGTGAACGACGAGGATTTTGTGATCGTGTCTTTGTTGTTCAGATGATAACGTACCACTGGCCTATTTGAAATAGGTCAGTGTCAGGGTTTACCCCCTGTTTGTCGATCGCTTTGGCTCGATAACAAGAGGCGCTAAAAGTGATTTACTCTTCAATTTCAATGCCCATTGCTTAGATTAAACTTTACACCCAGCAAGACCGACTCGCAGTTAATATATAGGCCCTGGAGAAGATATAAACATTGTTGGACGGGTTTGATCCTTCAAAACACAAGGGCCTGAATCTGTATACCTTTTTACAACAGATAAGAAGGTAGCCTGTAGGAAAATGGCCACTGTCTTGGGCAGAGCTGTTACTAATCCCCACTCCAACCTCCATTTCCATGCTACCATATCTCAGGAAAATAGTTAAAATCTTTATTTTTTTAAAGCGAAGTGACAATCGATTACGAAAGTACAAATTAAATAATAATGACCGAAATTAAGAGAGAGAGAAAGAGAGAGAGAGACAGAGAGAGACAGACAGACAGACAGACAGACAGACAAACCGAAATACCGAGATTTAGAGATGGGTGGGGAGATGGGGGAAGGGGGGCAGATAGACACTGGTAAAATGAATTAGGTAGGGGAATTGGGCTGGAGGAGGGGGGGGGGTATACACTTTACTATTTTTCATTTACTTTAGATCCTCTGCTATCGTTTCAGTTCATCCATCCATCCATCCACCCACCCACCCATCCATCGGTCTGTCCGTCCAGCTTACTCTCCATCATTAAAGTTTATCAATCAATGTTAATCCACTTATCCATCCTCCCATCCACTCACCCATCCATTATCAAACTTAATCTTTTCATATTCTCGAACTTTGTGAGTTTGATCTGCGCAGCTAATTAATAGCTACTCTCACATTTCACTTCTCTCGTCACAGGTGTCGCGACAACTGAACTGATGTCAACAAAGCAAGCTATTTGTAAAACTAAGAGGTTTATTATTCTACGTCTCAACTGATCGCTACAACTCCTGCTGTCTCCAACAGAAGTGAGCACGAGCAACTCTCAGACGCCACGCGCGTCACCAAGCCAATTACGTCATCGTTGCAAGGAGGCTTCTTTCAGTCATAAAATTCAACAAATTTTCAAGATGGCAGCGGACCCAACATCAACTCCTCTCACTCCTCCTCCCATAGAGTTGGAGGATAACATTACCACTACAACTACGACCACTCTGGCACCTGTTGACGTGTTTCTGAATACCGTTGGAACTCTCTTTGACTTTCGTGAGGTGAGTGTCAACTGATTTTTTGTAAATATAAACTTTTATTTTCTTAATGTTTAAAAAAATAAAATTAAAGTGTTTATGTTTACCAGCCTTATGCTAGGCTGAGACAAAAGCTACCTGAGCTTAAACACGCTTTGTGAGCCTAAGTAAATCATGTTAATAAAGTTTTTGTCGTTTGCCACCTCGCTCGACCCCCCCCCCCCCCCCCAAAAAAAGAGAGAAATTTAAAAATCTCAGAACAAACACAACAAACCAAAATTAATAAACTGCGCACTCAGACATACAGAGAGACACACACACCCACAAACACACGTGCACGCGCAATTGTATAATATACTATTTTTTTAGACAGACAGACAGACAGACGTTAATAAAGTTTTAGTCCTTTGCTTTCTCATCCAACAACAAAAAAAAAAGGAAATAATCCCACAACAAACAAAGCAAACATAAAACTCCATACAGGAGCTACTATGTGCCCTACGCACGGGGCACAACTCGCACCACACTCTCACACTCCCTCCCCCCGGCCGGCACGCGCACGGGCACACACACACACACACACGCCCGCACGCGCACGCGCACGCGCACGCGCACGCGCACACACACATACACGGGGTGGGGGGTGTTCTCGTGGCCTAGAGGTTAAGGTGTTCGTCTCTCTTTCAATAGGTCCCGGGTTCGAATCCAGATAGCGACGGAAATTTTTCTTCTCTAAAATAGTTTCTCTAAAATTGTCTCCTTTCATCTCCTTTCCTGCTCTCTAGCAATTTTCTGTCGTCTGCTTTCGACTCCCCTTCTTTGCCCCGTCCTCTGGGCTCCTAACTCTTTCTGCAGCCTTTCCAATGCTACTCTTTGGCTCCTTCTTACTGCTGTCTTTCAGCCATACCCCTGATGTTATGGTAGGAAAGATCCACATCTAGCTTTCTCGAACAAGTGTGAAAAATCTCGGAGTTCCCGTGTGCAAGTTACGCACGTTAAAGATCCTTGGTGATCCAAAATCGATAAAAGTAGGCTTCGGCCACCACCTGGGCAAAATTAAAACATTCCTACCAACTGAAAATGTTTAATGTGTCCCACGCGCTCATATGACTTTATGCAGTTGCGAGAGCCGTAAAACACTTGCCTAAAAAAGCAAAACCATTATACACACATAGACACATACACACATATATACATACATACAAACACGCAAAACTGTATGAGAAGAAGAAGAAGAATATGATGATGACAATGTACACGTGACAATATGAAAACGCTGTTTTCGCTTGGTCCATGATAGTACAGAGGCCCACAAAAATACCTACAGTTTTAACTGTGTCGTCGAATCCTGTGTAGAGAGGACACGGCGGGCCTTGCCTTGGCGGGGATTATTATTTGGCCAAGAGTACCGTCTCTGCCCGTGAAAATGTGCTATTTTCGTTCGCACTTCGTATAGTTTGCAGTGATAGCTCGCCGTGTCAACAATTTTTCGGTGGATCCTTCGTGTATGTTTGCCAAAACTTTGAGCCTGTTCGACTGCTCGACTCGGTCCGCATGAAGTTCATACATACACCATTGCGTTTCGCACCCTCGCACACACATAATTTTATAAACTTGTACACAGACACATCCGCAGGCGCGCTCGCGCGCGCACACTCACAAGCACATACACACACAAACACATACACAAACACATAATATAATATATATATACACACACACACACACACCTGCTCACACACATAGGGGGCTCTCGTGGTCTAGAGGTTAAGGTGTTGGTCTCTCATTCAAAGGTCCCGGGTTCGAATCCGGGTAGCGACCGAAAAGTTTTCTTCTCTAAAATTGTCTCCTTTCACCTCCTTTCCCGCTCTCTAGCAATGTTCTGTTGTCGGCTTTCATTTCCACTTTCTGTCCCC